GGATTTAATGCATAAAAGTGAAATCTGAAAAGTGCGTTGCGCAGTTTAATCTGGCCTAAAAGCTAGTGGTAAAACTCTCCAGCTGATTAGTGTGTTGCTGAATGGCCTGTAGGGGGCAACAGTGAGTGGAAAAATGCATTTAATTTGTGGTTTAAGGTGAGGAAGACTGTTGTGTTCAGGTATTCCACGCACCGCCGTGACGCTTCGTTTGTTTCTCCTCCAGCCTGTCTCTCTGCTCCGAGCCCATGGCCATGCGAGTTCCCGTCCGCAGCGTCTCCGTCACCAAGGAGCAGAGCCACGTCCTGGTGGGCCTGGACGACGGCAAGCTGATCATCGTCGGCGTGGGCAAGCCGGCGGAGGTAAAGAACTCTCTGCGGAACTACATCGCTCAGAGCCTGGAGGGGTCGCCCCTTATGGCCTCCCCGCTGCTGGCCCCACTGAGGGCTCGCTCGCCGACGCGCCTGCTCCACCAGCGGGACCAGTTGGTGTTCAGCCCCACTTCCAGTCCACAGAGACCCTAGCATGTCGTTTGTTTCTCCCCCCTTGATTTAAACTGTAGATTAGAGACACATGCGCCCACCCCAAACATGTGAAACCTCCTCCGCACGCCTCACCTCTCCTCCTCAGGGACGTCGTCTCCCGCTCTTCCACATCATCGAATTGAGAATTCAGTGTTTTATATTCAATCCAGAATAAATATGCTGTGAAACTCCTTCAAACTAAAGCCATAAAAACAGACTGATAATAATAATAACGATGTGCCAAAATAGTTATAAATGTGGGAGCTTTGTTTCAATCATTGCACCTTCCAGCTTTTCCTCATTTTTTTGCTTAGACTGACTCACCAAAGTCAATCAAGCCTTGATTGTATTTCTTTATTACCTCACAAGTCAATCAAGCTGCGATCATGAATCACATCCCTCCTTTTTCCCCTTTTCCCTCCTTCTTTTGTTCCTTTTGACACTTTTCTCCCCACACTCTCCATCCCCCCTCCCCCCCTGAACTCCCTTTCTCCCACTTCCTCCTCCTCTTCCTCTTCCTCCGCTCTTCCCAGATGCGATCGAGCCAGATCACGCGAAAGCTGTGGGGCTCCAGCAAGAGGATGACTCAGATCTCAACGGAGACGGAATACAACACCCATCAGGAGAGCAACTGATCCCTGACTCCTGTTTACCCCTCACATCCGGTTGTTCCTCATTTTTCATAGACTCCCTTAAGTTCCTCCATTTTTTTTTTTTCTTTAGCTGAGCAGGCGACTGATGGGGAAGTGGCGTCATAAATCCTGCTCATCCATCTTTTCTGGGTGTGTTGTCCTGCTTTGGGTTGACCATCAAGGCGCTGGCGCTGTGGTTCCTTTGCAGAACATCCCACCACTACCCCCCTCTTCATTCCTCACCATATATAACAATCAAACAAGTGTGTGTTTGTCTGAATGAGAAGCGTATCGCCAATATATATATAAAAACAAAAACAGACAACAAGCTAGATGTAAGTGACCTTTATTTTGAGTCAGACAGATGGCTCTGTTTATGTCGGCTGGGAATCTTCTCGGTTTCCAGCCTTATGCAGTAAATCAGCTCCAGCACTCGCAAAACTAACTCTATGCCTTTTTTCAATAGGTTTGTATAAAGAGACTCATTTGTTGGAACACCTGAAAAGATCCTGCACTGAAAAACCAGTAGAAATCTAAAATATTTATTTAGTGTTGATTCGACCGTAAACTTTCTTCTAAATAATCTGGGATAAAAAAAAAACATACCTTTTAATTGTTCCTGTTATTTTAAGGGAAGCAAGCCCACAGCATCATACATCCTAGACCGTGGGGGGGAGGTGTTAAGTTTGTTTACTGTAGAAAAATGCATCAAATTAAAATCCTAGTATAGAAAATCTCAGCATATTTGAAGATGTACTTCTTTGCTCCGCTTCTCTAACGATGAGTTTTCCAGATTTCTGCCTCTCTTTCACCATCCTGCTCACTAGAGACAGCGGATAAACACACCTTTGCTTAATCCAGTCTTTTTTTAGGAAAATTCCAGTAGTTTTAATCTTTTTAATTATTAATGGGCAGGTTTGGAGAAAAAAAAAATACTTCAGTTGCTTCCATTTACAGGAAATCCAAAGGCTGCAAATGTTTGTGCGACGGTCAATTCTGTTAAAAGGGTGTATATCTCATCTGAAATATGCGAAATGAAAGTTTTTTTTAAAGACTCCTGGGGGGTTCTAGAGTGGAAAAAAAAGGATTAATCATAGAAAAAGCCTTTTATTTCTCAGTTCACTGAGGAGGATCTGTGATGCTGTGGGTCTAGATATAATAGTGCAAGGATGCCACTGAACATACGTACTTAAAATTAAGGATTTACCGAGAATTTGCTGCAACACTAAAACTGGTTTTAAGGCATTTGAAACATCCTAACCAGGGATAACAATAAATACGGCCAGCATTGTCAAAATCTACAAACAAAAGCATATAATCTTTCTTAAATCTGTTTAATTTGTTTGTTTTTCTTATAAATCGAGGCTTTAACACTAAGGTTAATCACTAAAACACTACATTATGAAGCACCTAACTTCCATTAGATTTAGCTGGGAAAAGAAACGGCTGAATGTTTCGGAGTTACTTGAACTTGTGTTTCTTTATGAGTAGCAACGTTTTCTATCTGATTTCTTCACCTGTAGACTCCAGTTTGGCAAAGTTAGGGGTTCCTCTGGCTGTCCGCACACTTGTGAAAATGAAGAAATGCGTAAGGGCTGTACGAGATGTCAGTGTTAGCAGCAATACAATTCCTTCCTCTGATTCCAGTCTTCCTTCTGCTCTAACTGGGATAGCGTGTCACTAATTTGAACCATCCAGGCTTCCGTATCCCAGAGCGTCCTTTTAATTTTCCTATCATCACTTCTGCTCCATGACTGATTATCAGTGAAGTTTTGTTTTTTTTTTACATGACGTCATGTATGTTTTGCATGCCTTGTTAGTAAGAGATTTATTGTGTGAGTTATTTACTCTGCAGTATGAAGCAGCTATGGAGATTGCTATTTTTGCACCACATTTTTGCCTCAGTCTCTCTTTTTTTTTTTTCTTCATCTTGTTTAGTTTTTATTTAAATGTCACAGCTTGGGGTAGTGCAAAGACCAAACTGCATCCTTTTTGAGATTTCTGTGAAAGGTGCTTAAATTGTTTTCTGAATGCATTTTTTTTTTTTTCCTTTTTAAAATACGTGTTTATTGTTCTCATTAAAGACCACTGTTTGAGCTGCTCCACGACTGCAACAAACAGAGTGCCTTTATGCCAGTTGTGTCAACAAAGTGGAGCTTGGTCCATCATTGAAGCCATTTGTCCCTAAAACCAACTTAGCGCAGCATTCCACATGTCCAACCTCAACAGTCTCAATGGGAACCAATGACAGGACTCAATTAATAATCGGAAATACTATTTTGTGTCTTAGCTGCATCCTCTGTGAGCGTCACCTTAATGGATGTGTGAATATCTGTGATTATTTATGAAAACAGTATAAATATATATAATGTACAGCATGATTTTTATTTCAGCGTCTTTTAAATGTCCTTTTTGCACTTTCTAGGTACTAAAAGTTGTAACGTCGTTTTAACTTGGCTCCCTAATCTGTACAAACTGCTTTGTATACACATGTGGGAAACGATCATTAAAGTCTTGTCTAAATTAAACGATTTTTATGGTTTTATTCTATTAAAAAAAAAAAATCCCAACTTTTAGATCTAACATTTAGGTTTTTGCCATATTTAAATGTTTTAGATCATCAAAGGGATTTTATGTATCATGAAAAAGATAACAAAAGTTGATAAAAGGCATAAAAATATTTAATTTATTTATAACTGCATGAAAAAATTATCTGTTTAATTACGACTTCATTATGATTACTTATAAAAGAAGGATAATTTGTCACAAACGGGTCTGATTAACTTTAGACCAAACGAGAAACTACCTCAATAGTACCCACCTATCTACATGAAGTAGGCTTAAAGGTCTTTAAATTGAATTTAAAATTAATTAAATGTAATTTAGACTGCTAAATATTATATAAATGGAGAATATATATATATTTAAAAAAGAGATTGTTGGAACTGTAACTATACAGTCATATGTTTACATCACTTTTTTTTCACCACAGTGTTTTTTCATCACTGCTGCTTACCTTTATGCTACACAATAAAAAAGGAAACAGTCTAGAGAGCTGTACTCAACAAAATTTCTTTTTGTATACAATTGTGTGTACAAAATGAAAAAATCTAAGTCCTGCACCAATTTGGAAGAACCATTATTCACAAAGGGAGAAAATGTGGAACAATACTGGTCTGTCTATTAAAATGACTCCAAAAAAAAAAAAGCAGGAAAAGAGTGGTAATCTGTTTGCTTTGCCGTTTCAGGACTTCACCACCTCGCTTCAGATGTTTTGAATCCAGCAAATCGTTCTTGAAGCTTGGTGGAAAAGCACTCGCAACTAGTGTTGCACTGATACCAGTATCAGGTAGGGCCCAATTAATCACTAAAATGGTGGTATCGGCACCGATACCATTTTGAGAACCAAAAGTTTATTCAACTATTGTCACCAATTCCAGGTAGGCAATAAAAAGTTCTACTGGATTCACTTTCTATTAGTCTTTTTTCCTGCTTCACAAAGGTAGGCAGCAGCTTGATAAAGCCATGATGGCAATTATTTTACATCCAAGTAGTATCCAGTTCTTCATATATACACACATACATCAATTTCAAACAGATGGTATTGGTATCGGCCAATTATGCACAGCCAGGTATCTGGTATTGGGGCCAAAAAATGGCATTGGCGCAACACTAATTGTTTCTACTTAAATTAGACCGTAAAACACGTCCCTAATCTTTGTCTATTAAAATTTTAACATCTGAGACGTTAATATTTTTCATTAAAAATAAATCAGTTGTCCTAGATTCAAAAGACAAACATTTTTTGTATGCTTGGTTTTATTAGGGAAGATCCTTTGATGTGATTTGGTAAGTACACTACAATACGTAGGGATGGTTTTTCCTGTAGTAGACGTATCTCACATCATCTACTGTATCTTTATGCAGTGACAGGGTACGAGCAGAGGGAGGCTCGCTTTAGTTCGCAGTCGGCTGCGGTCCACCAGCTCTCATCTGAAAAAGTGAGTAGGGACAGATGTGTGAAAAGCAAGTAGAAGAAGCCATTTTGTTTTATATTCTCCTATCAGCCACTATGTTTCCCCTATAAGAAGCCTTTAATTTACTAGACGTTGTTCTCAGACAATATATGAATGTTATTCAATATGTTTGCGAATGTCCGGTGAGGGTGCTTCGTACCCATCTTGAACATCTCGACGCAGACTGGTTTGTCGGTGTGAATGTTGGGATGTCCCGGCATCCAGTCGGAGTAGCTCCAGTCCGACCCGTCCACCCAAGAGGCCTGCTGGTTCTGCAAAGAAATTCATTCTTTTTACATACCAGTTTTATCACCTTGATGTTGGCGAAATGTTTACATTCAGTATTGGAGTAATATTGTTTTATTTTGGGGTTTTAGTTTGGGGATTTACTGAAATGGTTTGGTATCTTAGCAAGCATCTAGCTTCTAATAATATTTCTGATGGAGATGAAGTCCTGAAGTGTAATGTTAACCGGCTTTATTCATTCAAGAATACAGAGAAACCATTATTCTATTTTCTATGCTAAATGCAACAAGCTCACATCATGATGCTGCCAACACCGTGTGACAGTTAGTTCAGTTTTCTCAGGTTAAAAAAAACATGACATTTCTCATAATTCTTCTTTTTATCATGGCCTGTTAACTTATTTTCTGTCCAGTTTGATCTTAAAAGGGCATTTTTACTTGTCTGTATGTGCCTTTGAGTGAATATTGAAGATGTTGAAGCAGAAGTCCGCTCTCCTCCTAAAATCCTAAGTGAGCATTTGTTTCTTTTCGCCGTGCTGAAACATTTGAATACCTTGTACTTACCATCCAATAACCTTGTTTTCAGTTTTAATAGACTAACCAAACAAGTATTAGCACAGAAACTGCACTCCCAAAGATTGTAAATAGTTTCTGATATCATATGGATCAGGACTAGACCTCAGTGCAGCTTAGTACAGCCATGCCATCTTATCAGACAGGCTCAGACTGAAAGGACTCTGAATCTGTCCTTAAACTAACATTCTAATAGATAAATAAAAGAAAAATTCTTGTAAATATAGGAAACTTGCTATGGTGTTCCACAAGGCTCCATTTTAGGCCCTACTGTTTTTAATCTTTATATCCTATAACTGGGTGGATACATGAGGACATATGGTATAGATTTTGCATAACTAAGCTGCTGACCCAGAGCTCCTAATCACGACCCCAATGTATATCGACATATGATGTCATAAATTGAACATTTTCAGCTCAAACAGAACAAAACTTAAGTTTAAATTTTTTGCTTTTTGTGTTGCCGTATGTTCATTATCTATGTTTTTTTAATTTTATGTTTTATAGATTTAGTTTATTAATCATTTTCTTATGAAATATACATATATCAAGAGTTTGCTGGCTAATCTACATTAAGTTTAGAAGATTTTTCCTTTTCATGTCAGTAAAAATCATTCCTATTGAATGAACACATCACCTGGAAAAAACGTGTTTAAATAGATCCAAAAACACCAGAAGTATACATTTATGCCCGTGATGAGGTAAGTAACCATTTCAAAACTGTGAGTTTGACCTTATAAGTTTATAACACCGTTCATCTTCTAGTTATCTGTCTACAGTTTAGGCTCTCCTAGCAACTGGAGTGAGTGAAACTATTCCAAATAAGGGTTCAAGGGTCAATGTTTCATCAAGGTAAGAATAACATTATCTATCTTGTTGATAACATATCTGATGACATTCTCCTTGGCCTCCTTTAGTGCCTCAGTACATGGCCAGTCTGCTTGCATCATCGAGCTTTTGGGTATTCTGAGAGAAGAGGGGCTGTAATACTTCTGCTTTCTTTGTGTGTATTTCCAGAAATACTCTTCCCCTTATTTAGAAATGTTAGTTCTTGATTAAGAAAATAACTTGCCTTGACTGTGGCTCCCAACCAGGTCAGCCTAGGGCTTGTCTTGCCACCCCTAGTTACCAGGGAAACCAGTTGGAAATGGAGATCTCTGCTCGTCACAGAGGCCAGCTCAGCATCTGGGGCAAGATTTCTGCAAAAGGCCTGTGCAGTGGAAATATTATATTATTTATAGCAAAGTGAGGAGAATAGAAATGGAAACGATTTTAATCAGTAGGGGTTGCAACTATTCCTGTTGAAGGCTAGGAAGAAGTCTAACCATGTTTGTTTCTGCTTTTTTGTCACACTTAAATGTCCAATATATAGCCTGAACACAAAAAACTGAAATAACCAAAATCTGTAAGAGGGTACACATATTTATAGGGGCTTGTAAATAGTCCTACCTGGGCGTCTTTGAAGGCCAACAACTTTGGGTTGAACTCGTAGCATTTTCCGTAGATGATCTCCCCTTTACAGGCAACTTTCGAACTTTTGACGGTGGCTCTAGATGGTTCTGTCCCCTGTCTAAATGCACTTGGGATTGAATTTTTTGGCTCCGTTCCCTGTCTGAAAGAAACTGGGATTGACATCTTTGGTTCCGTTCCCTGTCTGTAAGAAACCGGGATTGACATCTTTGGTTCCGTTCCCTGTCTGTAAGAAACCGGGATTGACATCTTTGGCTCCGTTCCCTGTCTGTAAGAAACCGGAATTGACATCTTTGGCTCCGTTCCCTGTCTGAAAGCAACTGGGATTGACATCTTTGGCTCCATTCCCTGTCTGAAAGCAACTGGGATTGACATCTTTGGCTCCATTCCCTGTCTGTAAGAAACTGGAACGGACATTGTTTTCTTAACTTCCTTTTTGAAATGAATGGGGATTGACAACTTCGGCTCTGTTCCTTGTCTGAAGGCAAGTGGGATGGATATTTTTTGCCCAACTTTCTTGCTTGAATCATTCCAGATTGACTTATTTGGCTCAGTTCCCTGTCTGAAAGCAACTGGGATTGACGTCTTTTCCTCCGTTCCCTCTCTGAAACCAGCTGGGATTGACCTTCTGGATTTGATTTCCTGTCTGAAAGCAACTGGTATTGACATCTTTGGCTCGGTTCCCTGTCTGAAAGCAACTGGTATTGACATCTTTGGCTCGGTTCCCTGTCTGAACGCAACTGGGATTGACATCTTTGGCTCAGTTCCCTGTCTGAACGCAACTGGGATTGACATCTTTGGCTCGGTTCCCTGTCTGAATGAAGCTGGGATTGACATCTTCGGCTCGGTTCCCTGTCTGAAAGCAGCTGGGATTGACATCTTTGGTTCGGTTCCCTGTCTGAACGAAGCTGGGATTGACGTCTTTGGCTCAGTTCCTTGTCTGAACGAAGCTGGGATTGACATCTTTGGCTCGGTTCCCTGTCTGAACGCAACTGGGATAGACATCTTCGGCTCAGTTCCTTGTCTGAACGAAGCTGGGATTGACATCTTTGGCTCGGTTCCCTGTCTGAACGAAGCTGGGATTGACCTTCTAGGTTCTTTTTCCCCTCTGAAAGGTACCAGAAGATGAACAGTAGAAGGGTTCTCCATCCGTACCCAACCAGCTCCTTTTCTTTGGGCTGGAACATCAGAGACTGAAAGACAGAAGAAATGGGGGATGAAAAGGTTTGCAGCCCTCATGCTCAAACAAATAGAATGGAATCATTTACACCTGCAGTTTGAGTCAATTTCAGTCCAACTTAAATATCAACAATTCACAACATAGTTTGCAAAAGGTCCAGTGTTGTGTCTGCACTCACCCACTCTCCTGTCCATCTCACTGATGTGCTCCTTGACAAGTCCAGTGTTCAGGTCAACAAGGAATTTCCTTGAGGGTTCTGTTCCTTGTCTGAATCCATCAGGAACAGGTTCACGGGCATCAGGGTGCTGGACGCCCCGCCTAAAGCCATTTGGGAGATGGTTGGTCGGAGCGTTCTGCCGTCTAGGGCCTGGGATCGGAAGAGCTTGGAGACCTATGTAGGTTGTAGACACGAACATTTGGATCAATATATATCACATTTATTGGCAACCCTGGCAGTATAGAGGATTTATTTTTTTGTCTGTTTGTTTATTTTGTGCTCTTTCAGATTGGAGTCCAGTCATCAATCAGCAGCCATTCCAGCCAATAGAATAGCATGTAGTCTTCTTCCATATCACATTTTACAGGGTTGGGTCATTAAGTTAATTCCTCCTTTCAGATTACAGTTTTTTTCCTACTTTAAATAAAAATGTAAGCTGGTAATAATATCTTTTAGCTCTTTACTGACATGTAAAGATGAACACAAATCTTCCTCCTTGAGGGTCATGTTTATTTTATCAGTTTTAAGAAAAGATTTAGCCCTGTATGACTTCAAATTCATACCCCTAGGAAACAGGAAATTACAAATCTCTAAATTAAAGTTTCTACATGCTCTTTACAAAACAGTTAAACTAAAAAGAAATTCAAAATGTTTCAGTTGTTCTAATGACATTTTTATTGAGTTAAGAGAAATAATTATTTGGAATTCAAATTAGTTTCCACCCACTAATAAACGTAGTCAAATTAAAGTTGAATTTGCCTAAATTTTATTCCCTTAAATGCTGCCGGCACAATAAAAGATGGATTTCCATTCAATAATAAGATGTTCTATAAGTAATTAGCACATGAGTCATCATATAATCCTGTAATGAATCTACAAAGGTCTTTTATTTTTACAAGTCAGCAATCTTGTTACCATGGCAATATACCAAAATACAGGGATTTGTTATTTATAACCAAAAAGTAATCCATAATTCGAAAGATTAATTGCCTCGTATCCGAAAAGACACCACATTTGTTTTAAACCATTTATGACCCACTATATTAAAGTAAGGCTGTATCATCTATAAAGTGAGCAACCCAGTAACAAAGATAAAACATACAGTGTAGATCTTACCTGACAGTGTCAGGAACAGCAACACAAATTTAAACATCCTGTAAGACAAATACACCAACTTTCAACAACTGTTTTCTCTCTTATATTTATGCCAGACAAACCCACCCTATCACTTATTAATCAGCTCGATAATCTTTGTAGCACTTTTTGTTCTCTGTAAAGATTCTCCGCTTACCTGAGGCTGCAGTGATCAACTGTGAGCATGGAGTGAAAGAAAGGCTTAGCCTTTATGTTCTAGCCACAGTCATAAATTCCTCTATTATTACAGTCCATAGGATTACTGATTAATCTGAACTTCTTATTGGTTAAAATGTACTGATATTTGGTGGACTTTAACCTGATTAAGGTATGATAGTGCAGAAAAACAGATCTAAGATAAACAACATAAATTACTGATAACTGTAAAGTTTTCCCTTTCAGCTCTGTCATGTTGTAAACAGGATATTTTTGGAGTCTTTGAAAGATGGGAAGGTTGAACTGCTCAGAGGTTCAGGTGGGGAAGCTCAATCAATATTTGGAAAACGTGGTTGCAGCGTGAAATGACAAAACAAAGCGGCAACAAATGTGCTTGCAGTCCGATCTCAGTCTAAATCTGCTGTTTTATGAAGGCCTCAGACATTTTTTTTCAAGCAAAAGACATAATAAACAGGTCAGAGATTACATACATTTCAAAACAGGGTTAGATTAAAAATCAATTTACCATGATTAAAACCGCTATCAAACCTATACTAAGATGCTCATATAACTGGAATTACCGAAAATAACACTGGAGGAGCTGCAGAAATCTAAAGCTTAGGTGGGTTAAATCAGGCAATATGCAGAGAGTTTATATGAAAAGCAAAGTTTTGCCCTTGCAAAACCCCATGTTAAGGGTTATAATGAATGCAGCTTTATACTGAGTGGATAAAATCCATAACAAAATCTGGTAGAGAATCTGTGTTACAGATGTACAATAGACGCACTTTTTCAGTCTCTGATTTACACAACCTGCTAAAAAAAAAAAAAAAGATAAATGAACAAAATGTTAAAGTATTTTTAGATTATATTGCTTCATGTGTAGTTATGCAAAGTGTTGACACAGTGCAGCTAAATACAAATACGTGCCACACTTTTTCAGATGTTGAGTTTTAGTTCAATAATTAAACAAATCCTCAAACAGACAATTTGGCTCAGCAGTGAAAATTGTTATGGTCTAATAAATAAAGTACAAATGATATATAGAGTTGAAAAGCTGCATAACAAGCTGCTTTGTGATTTCAAACAGTTCAAAAGTTCAAGGTTACAATAAGATTTGACGTCTGGTTTTGTGCCCCGCCCCTTTTTCATTGCTGTAGTTGTCCTTGAGGATGCTTTCCAGCATTTAATACTTAAAATAACCTGGCAGGATGCTTACATTGATTTAAAAAGAAACATTAACCCCAGATTGCAAAATATGTGCACAGAAGAGAATGAGTATGGAGGGTTTTCTGTTGGCAGAATAAAGTTAACAAAGGAAGCAGGAAGCGGGTCGATCTTGCTTACAAAATTAAAAGGAATTCCGCCATTTAAACGGCATGTTTTTTTTTATTAAAAAGAATAAACATCTTAACATTTGTTGTATTTCTTTATTTATTTAACAAAGCCGCTGTATTTAGCTGTTTTTCACCTATTTAAGATACGTATTTCCATTTTCGGTTGGTAGTTTTATGCAAATACACGGAAAAGTCTAGATTCTCTGAGGGCCATGAGTAAGTGCGTCCGCCATATTGTGAGTGGCAAGGTCTTCGTAACCACGCGTAACTATGCTTGTAAACGTGTTTTATGTCGAAAAGATACAGATTTATGCAATATATTTTATTGTTATTGATATTTTGAATTAAAAAATTAGGAAGTTCTGCTGATCAATAAGAAAACAATTAATAAGAACGTTGGATTTGTATTTCTCTTTGCGTTACATTCAGTCAGACACTGGTCAATCATGTTTTAGGACAGTCGGATATTCCTAACTTCCCAAACAAAATACCTTTTTTTCTTTATTTTTCTTCACGTATCAGAGACTTTTGGGATCAATGAAATCGTGTAGTTTTCAATCTCAATCTTACGACAGGTTTGAATTTTTTTTTAAACGAGAATAAAGTCATAAAATGATGAGAATGTAGTCGCAACGAGAATAGTCAAACAATTACAAGAATGATGTCGTAAAATTACGAGAATAATGTCGTAAAATATGAGTCGTAAAATTATGAGAATTAAGTAACATTTTGAGAATAAAGTCGTTCTATTACGAGACTTTATTCTCGTAGTGCTTTATTATTTATTCTTAAATAAAATAAAATAAAATATCTAGCCTGGTCATATTAAAGACAAGCTGTGAGGAGAAAAAAATAGTGCCACACGCAATATGGCAGCGATAGTGACGCCCAATTCAGACTTTATGCAGCTTTTACGTTGGGGAAGTAGTGAAACATTTAGCTGCGGTAGCTTGACGGCATCCGTGTGATTACAGTAGAGAGTGTCTGCTTCCTTGGAGCTTTAAACGGCTAACCCAGGCACCAGTGGCCGTCAGGTTAATCAGCTAATTGATCTGGAGGCTGATACAGCGCGCGGCGGCCATATGTTAGACGTTACGCAATGAAGACGACAGTGACAGAGTGACTTTCCGCGACTTAAACCAGCTAGCCCCGCCGCTAGCCTAGCCTCTGTCCACAGCAAACTTCGAGGACTCGTTCGGTGGTCGGTCACCAGAGAGCACACTGCGAGCCTTTCGCCTCACATCCCAGCGGCTCCGTTATTTAACGCCTCACTTTCTACCATCTTCCAATGGCTTTGGTAACAGCGGGGAGGCGGTTCGTTCAGGTCACTTTACGGGAATTTTCGCGGAGAAGCACGGCGGCGGCTTCTTGGGGAGCTTGGCGGACGGCAGAGCGCTGTTTCTCTGCAGGAACACCGCCTCTCAGGTGAGTTATTCTCCCCCAAATCCACTAACGGATTAAAAAGGCTGTTTGAAATAAAGGATCTTTTGTTGTTGTTTTTTTTGTTTTGTTTTTAAAACTGCTTCTTAAACTACTATATCTTCACTGTACTCGGATCAGTTACGTATTTGACTAATATTAATCTCCAACCACCAGGGGCGTTTCCAGGACCTGGGAACATTGGGGACTGAGCCCCAATTTAACTGAAAAAGTCCCCCCTCCCCCCTCAATTGAAGCTTTCTGCAGCTTGTCTGAAACCAAATACTACAATATGTATAGTCTGATGCGTTTAGTATATAATATAATTTTATTTAACCTGTAAATATCAAAAAGAAAATCATGGGGGTGAAAGCATTTTTAAATTCTTGCTGGTGCAATTTGCTAAAAAAAAAAAGTTACTGGCTTGTATTGTTTTTTACAAGTATTAGTTTTTTTCCCTTGTAGTTATACCCAGAGGTCTTTCTTTA